TCAATACCAGATGGGTTTTATGATCTCACTGTCCATTTCCAGGTCAAATTCAAAGTATTAACTTTCAAAGACTGAAATGACTTGAATCTGTGTAACCTGAAGGATTGTTTCCACCCATGTATACATGCCCGGACTTAAGAATGTCTTCTATGGTTCTTCTCCAAGAGCTCTTGCCAACGGAAGTGAGTGGGGTGGCTACTAAGAAGAGAGACTTTTCTGTTGTGGCACCCACATAATGGAGAGTCTTGCCCCACCACCCGTTGTGATTTTTCAATGCCGGTGAGGATCAGCTCACTTTCGCACACATTTATTCCTTTGGTTTCTGTTCCTTTTAAGCCAGTCATTGTACTTTTAATCCTTTATATCACTAGTGGTTTTTACTTTTGTTGTACACTGACGTTTTAAACCTTACATTTTATATTACGTTTTATCATCCTGAATTGCATGGTTTTAATTACTGTGAACTGCTCAGAGAGCTTCAACTATTGGGTGAAACAAAAATCGAATACAAATGTAGGTCAAAATTAGTTACCCTCCCTCTTTTGTATTTCTTCAATGCTCTAAAGCTGTCCATGCTTGTAATATGGTTTAAAATATTGCTTTCCCAGACAATATGTCTACATATTTTGGAGCAAAAAAAGAGAGAAGTGCACAGTTGGAAAGAAACCACATTTAGAAATACGAATAAAATCATAAATTTCCATGCAGTGCAACAAAAATGTTTTGCAGGCTTCTTCAGTTTGTGGAAACAAAATAGAACAGACATGTGGATGAACAATGTGAAAGTGATATAGACCAGGAAAAGATTGATTTGCCTTCTGATATACTTAGATACACGTGTACACAACACACACAGAGACATGGTATCTAGAGAAAGCATTATTACCATCATGTTGCAAAGCGTTTTTCATACTCCGTTCCAAAATGCCTTTCCTGCTTCATATGTTAGAACATGGATTAGGAAATAGGCAGAATACAGCTAGAGATCATTGTGCTACATAGGTGTCTAGCAAAGATCACTGGAATTCCTCCCTGATTCATGCCTTTGATATTTGCTGCCAACTCGGGGGGAAGCATAAATGCTAGGCAGGGTTGGGCACCTGCCCAAGGTCCACCAATAAGACCCTCCTGGACTTGCTCCTCATCTCCATCAATGCAACCTGCCCGTTCACCTGGTCCTCACTCTAGCCAGACTGCAGCGGTGGTGAGAAGCTGGAGGTGCCCACTTGCTCCCGGACTCTCCGACTCTCAGGCGAGCAGGTTATACCAAGAATAAGAAAGGCCGTGGGGAGGAACATCTGCTGGTGGCCACGGCAAGGAGAAGCAGTAGACTCCCTGAGGAAGAGGGGCCTTGCCTTGCCCAAAGGGCTTCTGCCCTGGAACTGGAACTGGGCTCCCCTTGCTCATGCTTCCCTCATTTGGGTATCGTTTGCAAATGTCCCTTCTTTTGTCCCAGAGAAACATAGAAACAGAGCAAGTCAGAAGGGGCCTCTCGGGCCATCTAGTCTGACCTCCGGCTCCAGCCGGCTCCGCTCACGACATGCCCACCATGGGCACGTCCAGCCTATCCTTGAACACCTGCACCGATGGGGCCTCAACGACCTCTCGTGGAAGCCCATTCCACACCCTCAGGGTCCTAACTGTCCAGAAGAGCTTCCTGGCATCCAAATGGAACCTTGGCTCCCTGAGCTTTGCTCCGTTGGAGCACGTTCTGCCTTCCTCTGCAGGGGAGAACAGGTCTCTACCCATCTCCATGTGACATCCCCTCACATACCTGTATGTCGCCAACATATCCCCTCTGAGTCTCCTCTTCTCCAGGCTGAAGAGACCCAGTTCCCTCAGTCTCGCCTCATACCCCATCCCCTGCAAACCGGCCACCAACCTTGTGGCCCTACGCTGCACTGACTCTAACCTGGCTATATCCTTTCTGTGATGAGGGGCCCAAAGCTGAGCACAATACTCCAGTTGCAGGCGCACCAGAGTCGTGTAGAGTGGTAGTAATACCTCTATTGATCTCGAAGCCACACTTCTGGCTATGCAACCAAGGGTGGTGTTCGCCCTCTTGACCACCGCATCACACTGCTGACTCATGTTTAGCCTGCAGTCAGCCAGTACCCCAAGGTCCCTTCCACAAGTGCTGTTCTCCAGCCATAACCTGTACTTATGACACCTATTCCTATGCCCCATAGGACCTTATACTTATCCACATTGAACGCCCACAAGTTGTCTCCTGCCCACTTCCATAGTCTGTCCAGATTCTTTTGGATCTGGAGTACCTGCTCCTCAGTTGTGGCCACTGCTCCAGTTTTAGTGTCGTCTGCGAATTTGATCAGCAGACTGTTCACCCCTTCTTTCATGTCATTAATGAAAAGATTAAACAGAATTGGCCCCAGGACAGAGCCCTGGGGGACCCCGCTTGTCACTGGCCGCCATCCCGATGATTCCCCACTAATGGTTACCTTCGGCTTTCGGTCAGTCAACCATGCCCTAATCCACCAGACAGTGCTTTGGTGTGTCCCAAAACTCCTCAGTTTCTCCACCAGGATATCATGGGGCACTTTGTCAAAGGCCTTGCTGAAATCCAGGTATACCACATCCACTGCATCCCCTCCATCTAGCCATCTCAAAACCTTGTCGTACAATTCCACAAGGAACATCAGACTGAGACCGGCAGTGGGGTCTGCTGGCATGCATCACATTATAATTCACAAAATTCACTATAATTTTGCTTGTTTACACACATGAACGGTGAACGCATGCGCCTTCCAAAATGGAAAGTCATCACAAAGCAAATTAAACTGCTAAATCATTTACAGAATGGGAGGGAGACAGCTAAAATGAACAGATGGCGTGCAGAATTGCCTTCTAAAGAAAAACAGCAAATTATGGGAATAAACAACACTTCAGCAACATGTTTCTGTTGTCTGTTGATGCTGGGTTTGGGTACATTGTTTTACTATAACAAATATGCTTAAGGAAAAATATAAATAAATTCTGTGACTTACTGCAGGAAATCTGCTATCTTTAGGAACAAATGCAACACTGATTTATTAAATTGCTCAAAAATGTCATTATTCAACCTTGGTTGTATGCAGTGCTAAAGAGAACAGTGACTCAGCATATACCATATAATGGCATGAACAGGTGTTTTGTCCCCTTGAATATCTATTCCTTATCCTTAGAAAAAGATTTCTTACTAAAAATTCAGGGCAAATCAATTGCAGCTACAACACAATCAGCCCCATCTGACAGTGCTGTAAAAATCCCCAGTCCTCCTGATCGGCAATGGCGGTGACAAATGCTCACAGCACAAACTCAGAAATCACCGCATAAAATGAAAAGCAATAAAGAGCACTACGAAAACAAATACAAAAGCAAATCATGGTCAAAAGAGTCAAGTAGCTTGATAACCAAAAATACCATTAAGGGCAGTTAAGTTGAAAACAATTGACGAATGTTAAGATTCAAGGATTTTAAACAGCCTCCTGCATAAAAAATTCAGAAATAGAAGAGAGCTCAGTTAACAGCTGTTGAGTCAGTGATTCATTCATTAGAAAACTTGACAGTGTGTGCTCTGAACTCAGTCTATCAAACATTTACCATGAGAAAATGATCTGCATTCTTTAATTTATTCAGAGGTGACAGAGATCCGCGGGAGCTCAAGGAATACAGAGCTCTTGCAGGAATGGACCACATCGGGATACCCGAGAGAGAGCTCTTCTCTGAAACTGCCCTCAGATCATTCTCTGGAGTTCGCTTTCGTTCCCCTTTTATTATAATAATTATTTTGACAAAATGTTGAAACAGTGAAAAATATTTATAGCAAAACAGAAAAACCATATATTATTTTAAACCACAGCTGGACAATTTGTGGCCTTCCACATGTTTTGGATTACAACTCTCATCAGCCCTTGCCACCACAGCCAATGGTGAAGGATCATGGGAGTTGTAGGCCAGAAATCTGGGTGGCCAAGCTGTCCACTCCTGCTACTGTGATTCATCTTTGTCAAGGATGTGGTTCATCCTTGTTACTGTGGTTCATTCAATGACAAATTGACGTGGTTTGCATGACGTGAGCCATGGGGACCTCTTAAGCAGTCTGTGCATATGCTGAATGGAGAGGCCCTTCTCCGGGAGCCCTCCGTGAGAGAAATTAGGAGGGTGGCTACTCGGAGAAGGGCTTTCTCAGCGGTGGCGCCTAAGTTATGGAATGCGCTCCCCAGAGAGGTCCGCCTGGCGCCGTCGTTATTTGTTTTTCGGCGCCAGGCTAAGACCTTTTTATTTAAGCAACATTTTAAATGCTAAATACAATTGAATTTTATCTGGCCAGGGCGGCTTATTTTATAATGTGAGTTTTAATTAAGATTATTTTATATGGATTTTAACTTGTTTTATCTATGTTGTAAGCCGCCCCGAGGCTTCGGCGAATGGGGCGGCATAAAAATGTTTTAATAAATAAATAAATAAATAAATTTACATAATTACTCCTCACTGGTACTCCTTGCTGTGATTACCAGACCTAATGTGAGCAGGTCACCCAGCAGTGCAGAACAGGTTGTGGGTACAAGGCAATTTCTTAACCACTGCAAAACTGCATTCTTGCTTGGTCTGGAGAGGCAGCTCTGTAAACTGGTCTGGCCCATGAGTGGCATACATGGGGGATAATAAGCCAGCACAGTTGATTAACCACGGCTGTGGCATACAAGCTGGCCCACGGTGGTTCGCTCTCCAGAAGCAGAGGCTACAAATCTCCCCTCAAAGCCACATTAGTAGTCACTTATTCCTCATTCCAAAAAAGGAAATGCTTCTCCCCAAAAAATAGCAAAAGAAGACACTGACCAGCATAAAATTTCCTTATGCCAATATACCTTTATAGATCAGATTTAGCCAAGTTAAATAGAACTAAAGGTATCTCACCAAAATGGAGAATGCTCAGTTGGATCTATAGACATGAATATAGAAATGAATATAAATGCAAAAAGAAATACAATATATCTCACCGTAGTGGGGAAGCCTATGATTAGGCCATGAGCACTTGCTTGGTCTGCCGCTACCTGTTGATGGACAACTTCAGGGCTCCTGTGCTCCCATCTTATGGTCCTCTGTTGTTAAAGTAGGCTGGACAGCCCTTCAAACATTCAAAGAACATTCAAAGTACAGAATACATTCAAAATAGAGGAATGCCATCTGTAAAGCAAGACACATGGCCACTGCACAGAGGAGGAGAAAAGAGGCAATATTCATAAACCTATCTCCAAACTCTCACCATGGCTTAAATAGAGTGCTAAACAAGGATTCAGCATTCCTTTTCAACCATGCCACATTGCTAGCAAGAATAAGTTTCGTCTCTCTCAGAATCTCTGCCAGGAAATAGTAACCAGTAGAACATATTAACCTATCCCAACCCTGAAGCTGTTCTACTCTTCAGCACCAGTCCATATGACAGACTCAAAACCCATTTTCCATTCCTCTTATTTCTGAGACGCTGTGCACGTCCAACACAACTGCATGGAGGCCGACCCACATGGGGAACCATGAGCAGCTCCCTACACCATCTGGCAGTTTTAACCCACGCCATGCCAACTCTGCTTGGAAAAGCTTCACAAGCAGTATGCCAGATGGCTATAATTCAGTCGCAGAAGAATTCAACGTTTGCTTTGCATCAAAGAGAACCAGTCTTCCCTTTCTTCTGGAGAAAAGCATCTAAAATAAAAGACTGACAGAGGAGAGATCCAGGAAGTACAAGACTGTCTCTGCTTCCCATAAATTAGAATTAAGTGTCCAACAATAATACAAACTGTTGTAAATCTCCTTTCAGCGACTTACATCAAAAGTCTCTGGCTCTGAAAACCAAGGCAACCATAGATGCTACAGCATGCCAAATATAATTTCCATCCTTTCCTCTTTGTCCTTGGACTGCCAGGCTCCAAGGACCTCCATTGGCTCTGCTACGGGCACTTCCACAAAATGGCTCCCACAGACGATGTGGTTAGTCATGGAATGGCTACTGTGGGGACCTGGCCAGACGAAAGTAGTTAGAGGTGCAGGGAGAGGTAGTGAGGCTACAGGTTGGGAGGGAGGGGAAAATAGCAAGGCAAAGGAGTAGAGGAGGGAGGCTGGAAGACAGAAGGGGAGAGAACTGCCCTAACATTTCGCTAGTTTTCTTGAAAAATGATTCCTGTATGGGGACAGAGAGAAGTGAGCTTTGTAGACACCACTGGAGGTCACTGAGGGTGCCATCGTACCTGCTGCAAGAGTCCCATTATGCATGTTACAGTCCGCTCAGATAGGTTTGTTCAGCTGGTCAGAAGGGCAGAGGACTTGGCTGGTGCAGGATTAGCTGTGAAGGTGCTCAAAGAGAACTAGAGAACCAGCCTGCCTGGGAAAGGTGGGAGACATTTCAGAACTGGGGGGAGGAAATTGAGGGCAAGTTCCTTGACCACGTCAGAAGATGACAGACCATCCTTCATTCCTGCCCACCAGCCCTCAAGCAACAGAGCTGCCCTCAGGGTGGGGACAGACTCTTCCTGAAAGGGAGGAGCTGTCAAGAGTTGGGTTTCCTCCTTCCCTTTCTCAAACAAAGGCAGCTTTTTGGCAAAAGCATTGAATTTCCAGTGTAGATCTACAAGGTATTAGTCAACAGGGGAAGAGAGTCTGAGCATGCACAGAGCAGTTCATTGAACCAAACTAGAGACCATGTCTAAGAAGCCTCCTTTTCAGTAATCTGGACCTGCAGATGGGCAAGGCTCCTAAATTTATGCAGGCCCTCTTTCCCAGTGCTGCAACATGGGATTAGGATCAGGCCAGGCTCTTCTGGCTCCTCTCCCATGTCCCCTCCCAGCACTTCCAGACTCTGTCAGTTCCCAGCGTCTGCCCAGGAAGATCTGGAGATGGTGACCTTGAAACAAGCTCTCCTTGGTCCACGATCTCCATGTCCATAGACCTCATTTCCCCAGCCTCACCAACCTCCTCCAAAGAGTCGGTGCCACCCTGGCCCTGGAAGCACACTAAGAATAACAGCCTCTTTCATTCCCAAGAGGGAAGGAGAAGTTTCAGATCCCACTCTTCACCTGGGCAGATGCTTCTCTCACATCTCAAGAAGAATGCTACTTTGATTCATACTGTTCTGCAGTTGTTAAACTTTAATAGAAGGACAGTGCTTCTAAAGTTTCATCAGAGACTGCTGGAGAGGGAAAGAGGGAGGAGACCGACCCACACCTGCACTCCTTGGTCGAGGGGTGATGATGTATACAAGGGGTTCCCACACAAGTCTTCTTTTTGCAGGCCGAGTTGTCCTTCAGGGGCACATCAGTCCCCCTCTTAAAATCAACCAGTAAGAAAACGCTCCCAGTCATTACATATGAAACCTCTTCTTACATGAGACTAATCAGGGACCATTCTGCAAACAGTAAAATGCAGAAGAGATGCGCTTTATGTGGGATCATTCATGTGGGATAAATCAGAGGGCCTTTCTCAGATGCAGCCTTTATCTCTTAGATCTACTCATGAAGACTACAAACATTTATGTATGTATTTATTTATTATTTTTGTAAAAGAAGTCTGAGATTACTAGAATACAGAAGGATGCACTGGATAACCCTGCTGGAAGGTCAAGTCTGTAATCCTGAAAATGTCAAGCACCGTGCAGCAAACCAGTAACCTTAAGCATGGCAACTCTTCTGTGTTGGTGAAGAAGTCACTGAGTACACTATACTATCTTCAGCCTGTAAAAACTGTGTGGCCAAAATCCATCATACACCAAGTCTAGTAATAGCTGAGCCATAGTAGTCCCTTACAGACATGCTGGAGGTTAGGTGGGTAAATGTGGGACAGTTAGAATACTGTCATAAATGAGGAGTTGGCATCCATTATTGGATGTTCAAGGAAGGCAGAAACCTTCATTGCTTCAAGTACGTGAGACACCAACAGAGCAAAGGGCAATGTGACAATACATCTGACATTTGTTAAATACCATCTCTATTTTTCATTTTTCTGCTGCTATATAAGTAGGATTATTATGAACCATTTGTCCTGACCCTTTTCATGTGCAAAATGATCTGCATTCCGTATCGTTCTTTCTCACGTCTGCAAAAGCAGGTCACCAATGTCCCTATTTCACAAATGAAGAACTGAAGCTGTGAGAAAGCAGATGTGTCATAGACGGAGTGTTCAGCAGAGAGGGTGACTTCTCATGTTCCACATCCACATTTAAAACTCTTCCCGTGATCTCATCCTTTGGCAGGAGGTTCACTAATTCACATATGCACTCACACCACCTACAGCTGCATATTACAACCCAGAGTACTCTATACTAATGCCCCCTAAAACATCCCCAATATTGTTTAAAGCAGTTTTACTCTACCGAATGCTCCTAATATTAAGATTTGCAAAGGCCACATCTGGCAGGAACAAACACACCTGGGAGGTTTCCAAGAGAATTTGATCCCTAGGTAGAAACAGGTATGTGTGGTTGGTTGCCACACTAGGTTGGTTATTCGGCAAATGGTCAGGAACACCCTGGGCACTTTCTGCCCTCTCTCTCCTTCCCTTCACACTTCCAAGGAACACCACAGGAGCAAGAAGTCCCCTCTCCCTGCCTGCCACATCATCTAGCTAATTTCAGCTCAGCATAGCTTTTTTGGCTGGCTATGCCAGAAGTGGTGTCCATGGGCACCACAACTGAAACCCTCCGTTTAGCTATACAACAGGCTCGCCATTGCCTGTGGCATTGCTTTGGCCATAGAAATATAAGCTTTCTGGTATCATATGCTCAGAACATATCGCAGAAAGTATTGTATGACAAGATGCGCCATTATAGTATTGACCCCTTCGATTACCTGCCAAATTTTTGACCTCTATCTTGGCAATACTGTCCAAAGTAATTCTTCTCTGAACTCTTGCACTGAATCATAGTTCTTATCTCATGCTTCTTTCTGAATCAGTATTACAGGTCCTATCAATATTCATTATTCTCAGAGTGGCACTGCTGGCCCACCACACAGGAGACAAAATCCAATCAATAAGAAAAGGAATTATATTCCCTGTTGGATTACACAACCACAAAAAAAAATAATTTCAAGAAAAATTTTCCTTTTGACAAGTCATGTGCACAAATTAAAAGTTAAAATGAAAAGCAAATAACTTATAATATCATAACTGCATAGTACCATGTGAAACAAAACTGAATTGTGTATCCTCTTTGTCTGGAGTTAGGGGAGGCTCTCATTTTTTAATGCATTCTTATAATAAGAGGTCATTTGGTAATTTTTAATCAAATGAACCTCCAAGTGCATTGGTTCTACCAACACATTTCATTTGGGTAATTAAGAGCACTTCTAAGGCTTCCAGAAGGGGTTTGGTGGAGCTATAAATTTCTGCAGATCTCTTCTGCAGTTCGACACAGAGTTATGGCTGCGGAGAAAATCCAGCTGAGGATCTTCCCCGCATCTCTCTTTCTCTCTCCCTCTCACAGAGAGAGAGAGAGAGAGAGAGAGAGAGAGAGAGGGAGGGAGGGAGGGAGGGAGGGAGGGATGTTGAGGAAAGCAGCTTCTCTTTTAAGGCCTTTGTTGTGACTTATTTCAGGGAAATTAGAAAGAGGGTGGTAGTCAAGAAGGAGAGAAGAGAAGACACATATTGGTTGTATCACCAGCATCTGCATTCCTAGCCCTGCTCCCAGGAAGGTAAGAGGGCTAGACAGGACTCTGAGCCTATGCGTAGAGAGTTATAAGTTTATAAGTTATATGCCTGACTGAGCAGAACTTAGACTGGAGCAAGATTGGAGCTCTCACTTACCATGGGACAATTTTTTCCAACTGTGCTCTAAAGTTCCCTGTACAGTGATAACTTTTGATCACTATCCTGTTTGGTCTACGGATCAGCTTTGTCCACCCTTCTGCTTCTGCTTCTGCTTCTGCTTCTGCTTCTGCTTCTTCTTCTTCATTGAAGAATCCTAGAAATGTCTTCTGTCTTGGTGAAGTTCTTCAGTTCCTGATTCCTTTGCAAAATCTACCACTTAATACTGAGAGGGGACTGGGGACCCAGCAATGAACTTGCTGAAATTTTTATTTAAAGATAAAAAGCACTGACTTGGCTATTTGTTTTGTCTACTTCAT